TGCACATATGTGGTAGGTGTCCCCACTTGTGTGTGCATATATGTGTGTAGTTGTACCCACTTTGTGTGTGCATATATGTGTGTAGGTGTACCCACTGTGTGTGTAGCATTAATAATAAAAACCAAGAGAAAGATACTGAGGTTCAACCTGAAGATCAGAAAGCAAAACAGCCAGCCACTGGCTCTCACCTCTCATTTAATCGTGTGCTTTCAAACTGCCTAACGTATTATCACAGAGAGACCCCAAATTCCTCCATTATAGTGGGTTTTCCCATTTTTTTTTAATGTCGGAAGAAACTCTCTCTTTTAACTGATTCCTCCCTTTAAGAATTCCCAGTTGTCTCACCAAATCTACTGACGATGTTGATGAAGATGTGAGGCTGATTGCTGCTATGTAGAACAGTAAGAGCCTGGCTGGATTTCACGGTAGCTATCTAGTCTGGCAGCAGCCCAAGGTTCAGGGAGAGCCCACAACCCAGGGTGGAGCGGTGAGGGGTTGTCTGAAAAATGCACAGGGGATTGTTTAGAAAAAGTACATGTGTTGGGGGCTACATGAAGGCTACAACAGAAAAATCCCAAACTCATTCAGAGGCTCATGGAAAAAAGAAAAGAAACTCACCAGCCGGAGCCCCACATGCAGCTCCAGTCTGTGCCAGTGGCTTTTTGGTGAATTTGTACCCCAAATGTTGTGTGTCAATGGTAGCACAAACAATAAAACCCAGAAACAGATATTGGGGTATAACCTGAAGACCAGAAAGTAAAACTAAGCCATTAGAGGTCAGACAGTGGTGTCACACACCTTTAATCTCAGGATTTGGGAGACAGATGGATCTCTGTGAGTTCAAGACTTTTAATCCCAGCACTAGAGGGGAATATAAAACGGGAGGAGACGGAGGCTCAGGGCTCAGTCTGCTGTCGCCCAGCCTTGGTAGAGGTGAGATTTCTCCAGTGGCGTGGCTGTTTTGCTTTTCTGATCTTCAGGCAACCTTTATTTATTAAAACATAAGTAAGATATCACTGTATGTGTGTGCATATGTGGATTTTGGAGGTCAACAATAGGAATCTTCTATCATGCTCCACTGTGCACATGTGTGCACGCACACTCTCTCTCTCTCACACACACACACACACACACACACACACAACATTTGAGATGTGGTATCTTACACTTTCAGCTACACTAGCTGGGTAGTGAGACCCTGGGATCTGCCTACCTCCACCCTTTCTACCACTGCAATTACAGATGTGCCCCTTCACACCTGGCTTTTAGGTTACAGATTTCACCTTCACACCTGGCTTTTAGGTCACAGATGTGCGCCATTTACACCTGGCTTTTAGGTTACAGATGTCCCCCATTTACACCTGGCTTTTAGGTCACAGGTGTGCCCCATTTACACCTGGCTTTTAGGTAGTTTCTGGAAATCTGAACTCAAGTCCTCATGCTTGTGCACTGAGCACTTTATCCACTGAGCCAGCCCTCTAGCCCTCCTTTGTATCTTTATGCGATTCATAGTCACGGGGCAAGTGATGGACGACCTAATGGAGGAAGAGGCGTAGGTGTAGAGTCCTGCCTCCAGTCCCCACAAAGTGGCAGCTCCTCTGAGCTGTCGTATGCTGTCCTTTTCAAATGGTCTCCTTAAGAACTAATGCATATGAACTTTTTTTTTTTCAAAAAAAAAGCTTTTTAAATTTTTTTAAATAATTTATTTTTTTAAATGTGCGTTGGTGTTTTACCTGCATGTATGTCTGTGTGAGGGTGTCAGATCCTCTGGAACTGAAGTTGCAGTCATTGTGAGCTGCCATGTGGGTATTGGGAATTGAACCTGTGTCCTCTGGAAGAATCAAGTGTCTTAACTGCTGAGTCCTCTCTCCAGCCTGGACTTTCTCTATTTTTAAAGATTGCCTTCCTATGTAGCCCATTGTGGCCTTAAACTTACAATTCTCTATCTTTAGTCAGTTGAGCAGTGGATGGGATTACAAGTGTGTGCCACAGAACCTGGCCACTTAGAATCTTTGTAAATGCACGTGTGTGCCACGGAGCCTGGCCACTTAGAATCTTTGTGAGTACAAGTGTGTACCTTGGAGTCTGACTACGTAGTCTTTTTACTTTATTCAAAATCCCATTCTAGTCTAAGCAGTAAGGAAGGGTACTGGTTCATGTAAGTAAGTTTTAGGATAGAGACCCACTTTAGTCCTGGCTGGATCCAGAGGGAGTGATATACCCAGAAAATCCAGTTTGCTATCTTCCACTTCTACAGGGTCTCTGTCCAGTGTCAGTGCCGATCTCCTCAGCCTCCCCTCCTCACAGTTCATAAGGAGACCGTCTTCCTCATGGCTCTTATCTGACTCCCAGACTTGCTGGGAGGGTGAGGCCATGTTTCCTAGCCTGCCATGGACCTTAGCTTTGCCATCTCCCACTGCAACCGAAGAAGCATGGAGCACTGACGGGAGGAGGCAGAGGCTCAGGGCTCAGCCTGCAGTGAGGTGGCCAGACTAAGAAGAGGTGAGGTGTTCTCAGGTTCAGGCACTTTACTTAACAAGGGACTCAAATATCCGATGACTAAAATCCCTCAGAAAACCCACCTTAAATGCCCATTCAGTCTGTTCTCAGCAGTCAGAGCTCTGCACCTTAGAA